TGCGGTACACAAATTGCGTGTCTTTTTCCGCTTTACTGTCAAAAGAGGCTTTTCTGAAATTTGGCATGTCTACACGGTGCCACATTTTGGAAAAAAGTCCTCTTTCAGCATATCCCTTTTTCTTCATAAAAATGAGGTTTACAGGGACCACTTTTCTGAAAATTTTTCCAAAAAAGGGAACACTTTCCTTGGATGTGGCATTGCTTTTCCAGGATACCTCCAGTATCCCGGAAAAGCGCTGCAATCTAGATGAAGACTGAGAGAAGATAGCTCTCCCAGTGTGCTGATTACAGACTCGCTGCCCAAATTACAGGAATTGGCCTGGATTGTACCTGGTGCATATGGAGCTACCCACGATACCTGGCAATGGCTAACTCCCCATTGTGTGAAAGAATAGTGGACTAAACACACTCTTTTTCTTATGTGCTGGTTAGTGTTGTTGTTAAGTGATCATTTGCCATGCTGATTTTTAACTAATGGATATAAAAACATTCTCTAATTGGTACTAAAGAAATGAAATGATTAAAAACTCGGCTACCCCCTGAAGTTCCTTTAAAATAGTGGGGACAGGGTGAGGGAAGAAGAGGGAAGAGCAGAAATGGGATGGGGGGGGGGGACGCTTGGACTCCAAGGACTCTTTCCATTGCTTGAACAGAGGAAAGAACTAGACTTTCAGTAGCCAGTATGAGGCTTGTACCTATTGGAGACTTTATTTAAAAATTAATATTGTTTGTTAAATGAGTGAGGTCAATTCTGAACAGAAACGTGCAAGTTAGCTATAGTCTTAGCCTGAGGCGATTTTAATTGAAAAATATCAGACAAGACTTACCAAGTAGGGAGAGGATGTAATGCTATTAAGTAAGAATACCCTTTCCCCTGATCTTAATGTTGACAATGATCCTGCCATACACAGTTGTGCTTGATGGTCTTGCTTGCAGATTTCAACAGCTCAAATATTCTTGTCAAAATGACAGTTTTCTGATATTCACTAAGGGTGCGTCTAGACTACAGGGTTTTGTCGACAAAAATGGACTTTTGTCGACAAATCTATACCTGCGTCCACACTGCCTTTGAGTTATGTCGACATAACATCGACAAAACTCAGCAGTTTTGTCGACGTATGTAAACCTCATTCTACAAGGAATAACGCCTTTTGTCGACAGAGTTCTGTCGATAGAAGGCATTATTGCATCTACACTGTCCTTTGCATCCACACTGTTATGTCGACAAAGCGGCTTGCTTTGTCGACAGAACTGGATGTTGTCTAGATGCTCTTTGTCGACAGAAGCTTTGTCGACAGTATCTGTCGACAAAACTTCTGTCGACAAAACCCTGTAGTCTAGACATACCCTGTAGTATGTAATGGATCAACACACTCAGCCTGAGAAAATAACTACATGTTTTTCCCATTAACTATGTGGTAGTATCTGTACTTTCTAGGGCCTAGTCTACACTGGAGTGAAAGGTGGACTTAAGAGATGCAACTCCAGCTAAATTAATTACATATCTGGAGCTGATGTATCTTAAATCACCATCCACACGTTGGGAGGTTGATGGGAGCAAACACTCTTGTCAGCTTCTCTTATTCCTCATGAGGAGCAGGAGTACCCATGCTGACAGGGGTGCTCTGTAAGTTCAAATTAGCGAGTCTTCACTAGACTCACTAAATCAAACTTTGGAAGATCGACCACGGCAGCATCCCTCTTCTGTGTAGTATAGATGTGATCTAAGTGAGTTATATTTTGTGCTTATGCATGATTATGAAGAAGAAATGCACTCACTAATGTAAGTTTAATGTGCATACATTTCAATTATTGTACAGATAATTAATATTTCTAACATTAGCAATAAAATCTCTTATTTAATTTGTCTTGGAAAATTAACATATTTTACTTCAGCGTGTATCCCAAATCCTGCATACAGTCATCACACATAATAGGCTTAAAAAAATAAAATTTACAGCTGAATCTTATCCTCAGATGCATGTTCCGCACTAATTAACCCAATTTAGTTGTTATATAGTTCAAGATGCTCTGCTTCTGCCACTTATACGCTCTATTTAACTCTTTTCAGGCAGAAAACAATGTGAATATATGCAAGCAAGCTCCTGCATATGTTAGTCTAGTGCATCGCCCATTGTTTGATGCATGTGGTGGATGCAAAGTGATTATTGTAACTGAGTAGAAAATTATTGTTCTCTGCTTTAAAAAAAATCACACATTTTCTAATACACTATGTTCCTACAAGTGAGAGACTGGATCTATGCAAAACAACAGATATGTACTTAAAATTCAAATTTAAAAATAAACACTTTTCAAAATGATCAAATCTGTATAATTCTGTATAGTGAAATCTATCTGCACACTTGTAAAACACATTCTTTATAAGTTGCATTGATAGACTCTCTAAATGAATTTAAATGTTTGGAAACACTGCAGCAAATATATTTTAATGCCAAAAAATGGTGATTTATATCCCAGACACTGATCTGGTAAGTAAATGTAACTAAGTGGTTTTTACCTATGAAAGCTGTTAGTCTTTCAGGTGCAATAGGACTCCTCGTTGTTGTAACTATACCCCTAGTACAGTTGAATAGAATTGTGTGGATGGCAATATAATTCCTTGTACACTCAAACAAGATTTGTGTGTCTGTATTTCTGCTGGGATTTTCCACCTTTAACTTGGAGAATGAGATGTCATCTTTTTTTTCCTGAGTGTGTGCATGTGTGTGAGTGTGTATAATCACTTTAATAATAAGCTTTCAGAATAATTACAATGAATTCTCCAAATTCTACATGTGCATATTATGACTACATGAATTCTGAGTAACTGCAAATTGCATATGAACAAAAGCTTCTATTATTTATTTGGATTCATATAAAAGAAAAAAGGCATGTTGGTTTTTTTAAAAAAAATCATGGTATCATCCAAACAAAAACTGGTTGATTTGTAGAAAACATGATGGAATGACAGGCCTGCATATGGAAATGCTCCTTTTTACACAGAACAGTCATACTTGTCACCATTAAGAGCTTTACAGTTACACATGAAAGTATCTAGTGTTACAGTGGTGTTCCATGGATTACATAAAAGGAATACCCCAATTATATGAGAGAGAAATGTTTTTCCTTTGTCATTAATTATGTGGAAGCCAGGCTTCTGCTCCTGGGAAGATGTGCAGACATGCAGAACTTGGAACTGTGGAAGCAGTGCTGTTTTGACTCATGTTATCCCTGGCCATACTGTTTCTAGTACACTAGCTCAAGCAGATCAAGCACATTCGCATCTCTTACATCTCCACCCAGGCTACGTCTACACTACACTACACTGTTCTTCCAGAAAAAACTACGCACATTGTGTACCCCCCTCCTCCACCCTGAGGCCTACCCCCCCCCATCAGCCCCTTCCCTTGAGGCCCTTGTTCCACTCCAGTCCCCTGCCCATCGCTTGCTGCCAGCACTCAAGAAGTAAAGGGCAGTGGGACGTGGGGTGGATTTGGTGAATGCCAGGAGGTGGGGGCCTCAGAGCAGGGGTGGAACAAAGACGGGGGAAGAGCAACGTGGGCAGGCTATGGGGGAAGAGTGAGAGGGGGCCTCAGGACAGAAAGCAGGCAGGGTCATGGCCCAGGCATCTGTGATCTCAAAGATCAACAACTTTTGGGGGAGGCTTAGTATCCCCTGGCTTATTAAACCTGCCACCCATTAACCTGATTAGCTTTAGGTATTTGAGTTTGAAACTTAGCTTTGGTGTCATTATGAGCTTTAC